TACTGGTCCCGTTTGATCAAATTAGTTTTTGGTCACCACGTTTTGTTTGCCGGCGCCTATGTGTCCATTAGGTAGTCCTCCATTTGGCAAATTAGTTTGTTCTTGTTTTCTACTAATAAGTTCGCTGACCGTGGGTACGGTTCCGGGGCGCCTCTTCCAAATCATGCAGGACGGCTGCGTCGTTCCTGGCTAGCGCCTGCCGTACTCCAGTCGGGCCGTTCATGGGAACATTACTCGCAGCCCCCGATGCAAGCGGACCGGCAACTTTGGCAACTGACTTGGCAAACTCGTCGCGGACGGGTCGGGTGTCTGTATCGCCATCAACCTGGTATAAATGATCGTAGTAAATGAGTAACATTAAAAAATGCATGTTTGTTTAAGTCAAAGACGAGTAATGCAATCTTTTTTTTTAGTTTTGAGTTTTTGTTTGGTGTTTTTGTTACCTAAATATAATTTTTAAGTATACGTTGTTGAACGATTTTATAAGGTGTGTAGTTATTTTTAAATGAGATAAATACTTTTTTATGTAACCTCTATAATAGTTCACATTTGGTTGAGGTAAGAAGAACCATGTAAACTGAAGATATAAAAAATAGGGAAATGGTAATGAAAATAGTGAGATAAGTTAAAAAGTGCAATTTTGCAAGAGATAAATCAAATTTTAAAAGTTATTACAACATCGATAATGAATTCTTCTGACAAAGTTTCATACAAAAGTTGCCTGTAAGGTATGTCGGTTTTCTTAGACTTTTACGAAAATTATGGAATTCGAAAACCGCTTTTTTAGTGAAAAAAAGTCGGTTTTTACTGTATAAATGGAAAATGACAAATATAGCTGCAATGGTTCGCAGAAAAGTTTTGTGTTATATTTTGTCTAATGTATAAATTCTAGATTTTTATACCAGTGTATATATTAATTTAAATCAGTGTGACTTCTTCTTGAAGAAGTAACTTCCTCTACTCAAATTTTAAAAGAAAAGAATTTTTAGCCCCAGAAGCCACAAATAAAAATAAAAGAACAAAAAACTTAGAACTATTATATCAGGCTTTAAAAACAATTAAGCAATTAAGCAATTAACAATTTTAGGAAATTTTGTGAGTAAACAAAGAATACGTCTATGTAACAATTTGATAGACGTTCTCAGTTTTTTGAAATCATATTTTATTAAACAAAAAAATAATTAGAATGTTTAAGATTAATTAATTAAAATTGCTCGGAATAGAAAATACGCGAATTTAGCTTAATTGTTTTTGAAACTAAAATTGATATTAGCAAGTATGTATCAATATGTATCTATTTTTGTTTTTTTTTAAATTAATGAATGTTTTTTATTTAAAAAAGTATTATTTTTATTTATTCAAAAACTTTCCTTTCGTTATCATAGAAATATTTTCATTCGTATATGTGAAAATTTTGCATGAATAACGAATAATTATTTTCAAAGTTTATTTAATCAAGATAAACTATTATTTTTTAGTTCTATCAATTAAAATTAAAATAATTTTGTTTACTATCCATAAAATTGAACAATAAATAAATTCAGTCAAATTCTGCTATAAATCGTCCTAAATTGGCGAATAAATTACAGAATATTCGAGCAAAAATTTATTTTCTAGATAAAATTCGAAAACCGGCTAAAACCGGTTTTTTGGTAACATTGAAATTCAAAAACCGGTTTTCTGAAATGTCGGTTTTTGTATAAACCCTAATTGCCTGCAGTGCGATCTTTATAAAAAATGTGCCCATAAAATATGTATTCACCTTATTTGTAATAAATGTTTTAAAAAATGAGTATGAAAAATTAAACAGAAATACCTACCAAAGCAAGATTTATGATATTAGCAAGAGTTTATTAAAATTTCCATTTGTTATGTTTATTAATATATATTCGAATTACAGTTTTTAATTTTGTTGTTTCACCTTATAATTAAATTGCATGGCATTGATTAGATAATGTTTCTATTTTTTCGTAAAACCTTTTTGAATTAAATATATAATAGTCACAATTTTTATCCCATGATTATATCTTTTTTCCTAACCTTGAGGTGAAAAAGATCAGGTGACAAATTTTAGCAAAATAGCGAAAACGTATTTTTACAATATAAAAGAATGACAGAATCAAAAGTGTTCATTATAGCTTGATTTAATTTTCAATTCACATGTAAAACACAGTTTTTCCACAAGATTCATAAAGTATATTTCATTTCAAATTCACTTACTATAGTTAATCTCCCTTCTGCATCAAGAGCCTTCAACATGGGCAAAGATCTTTCACGGAAAGTTTCAAGTCTTCTTCTGAAGGCTGAGACCGTGTCGTCGGGTCGTCCGCGGCCTAATTGAAGTTTAGAGCAATCCAACAAAACCATGTGCGGCCTTTGTTTGAACTATTAAAAGCAATGATTTTTATATTAAGATTAGGTCTAAACATGTATCAAATTCTTACGTGTTGTAGATTAAAATCAATTTAGATATTGCATAATTTTATTATATTTAAGACGGCTAAAGAAGTTATATAAATACAATTTTAAATATCAAAACATTTTTGTATGAATTCGTTTACATATTTTTTCTAGGACATATCTACCATATAAAACAGAATAGGGGGAAGTCCCGTAACCCCGGACGGCATCAAGCACCCGACACTCTATTTAACAAGCATTATTTAAGCGTAAGTTAAGTATAAATCTTTTAATTTCAAAATACAAGTGAAAGGGGCATGGGGGGCACACAGGTACAGGATCACGCGCCAAGCCCGCCTGTGACGCACACGGTCATGGCGAAAGTAACCCTTTTCTGTTTTAGGCGCAAAATCACGGCGTCACCTAAATATCAATAGAAGTAATTCTAGCATAATTATGCATTTACATTTGAGTGGTATGCAAAGATAAAAGTTGTACTTGATTGTTATCCGTAAAATGGTAGAATATTATTAGATCTTTTAACCAATTTTAGTAAGTGCCACCGAATGAACAAAAATGTCTGTCCCTTAAAACCGGACACTAAGTCGTCCCTTAGTGCCGGACAGTAAACATATTAAATTTCTTGTGAGAATTTACGTAATTTATTCCAATTATTTAATTTTGTTCTGTATGAGTGCTAACGGTCACTACATAAAGCTTATGGTGAATGCACCAGCTGAGAGCATCGGTGTGGTTCAGCCAAAAGGGTGGATGAATAGTTACTTTTTTTTGCAATATCTAAGAATATTCGTCAAAGACACATGTGCAGACATTCTAGAGTGTGGAGATGACTACATATGTGATCAATGCAGGTTATTTTGAAATGTCCGGTACTAGGTGCCACTGTTTAAAATTATATTTTTTGATAACAAAGTTTGATTGATAGTATTAATTATTTTTTAGCAAAGATTGCGGTTTTGTTAATTTAGTTTGATTTCTAACTTTGTTATCTAACATAAATCATAATTTAATAAACATTTCGTAAAATATTTTTTGATTTATTTTTAAATAACCTTAAGTGTCCGACACTAGGGTACTTCCCTCTAATATATAATTATTTAAGTTGTCTTAGATTTATTTGTACGAGGGGAATCGGGTATATATATTCTGCTTTCTATGATTTATATACGTAATTATTAACGTTATTTAGACTAAGTGCGGAGCATATCTAAACGCAATAAAAATCACGTCAACCAATCACAGAAATATTGTTTATTATTCAATACTATTTGTTTAAAAGTGAATTCTGTTTCATTCGTTTAACTACTAAATCCTACAAGTAAATTGATGATGAGCAAATTATAAATGCTTAGATAATCTCTTAAATTGGGCATCTCGATACCAAGTATGGTAAATAGCAGCTATTGCTGTCCAAGAGAACCAGGTGGAGTAACCACGAGAAACAGAAAGTTCCACTCATCACACAACATACCACAATACATGGACTTGTGGTTGCAAAACAGATGTAATAAAATTAATGTAGGAGTAATGTTTCTTAACTTACTGTTTCCTCAAATTCTTTGGCTTGTTGAAGATCTCGTGGGAAACCATCGATCAGTGCACCAGTTGCACCTTTAGCAGCTTGCAAGTGTCTTTTGAGCAATGTCATGACAGTTTCGGTGGCGGCGAGATCGCCTGCAACCAAGGAAGTCTTAACCCGATGAGCTTCGGTCAGCGGCCGAGGCTCTGAAGCTGCCATCGCTCGTAATAATGTTCCAACACTAAAAGTACGATATATTTGAAGAAATTTTATTGAAAAAAAAAACATGAAATTTATGTAACAATTTTATATTTTCTATTAATTAAAATAAGATCATGCCATAATAGTAATTAATGTTAATATCATGATTGCATGCTGTATGCTTTTTAAACCCGCATGAATGCTACGAGCTCATTTTATTTCTTATATGTTAACAGTAATCAGAACCTAAATTAATGATTGTTGAGCTAAAACTTCTCCTTACATTGTGTATTTTTTAGATGGTAACCCAATGGTTAATCCATCCATATTTAATGATTAATATGTTCATCTATTGACTTTAAAATAAAAAATAAAAGTAACATGGTAAAGTTTAATTTACCTGCGAACTTTAAAATTACCTATGCATTCTTTTCAATTAAAAATAATCTGAATTTCTTTTTTAGAGTAAAACTTAATTTTTTTTTGCATGTTGCTGCTAATATTGTCATATTTATTGATATGTACTTAGGCATGTTTCTTTATTGATGCATTGATATTTATGCATGTTATGTATTGTTTTGTATTTATGCATGTTTATTTAATACAAACTGATGACAAAGATAAATAATCAAGCGAATCTAAATTTTAATAGTGGGCTAAGGCTAAAGATAATCTATAATCTCGATAATAAAATGTGTGATGAAACTGTACATATTATTGACTATTGTCAAATATTAGGCGTTTATTGAAAGACAATAAAAAATAATTGCAGAATCAATTTATTACGAAAATATTTATTAATATATAATTTTATTTATTAATATTTTTTTTTCATTGCAAACCGAATGAAGCAACAAAGCATGTGCATAAATATTTTATTTAAAAAATATCTAATTAAATTTAACAATACATATACATCAGGTATGTATTATTTAGTAGTACTAACTTTAGTTCAGTAGTAAGTTCAGTTATTCAAATTTCGGCATGTGGGCGCATAAATTTAACTTGTGAGATCGTGTTTCTGTTATATTAATATTTTAGGAATAGACAATTTTCATGATTTACCTTATATGAACCCATCCTGGCATTTGTTGCAGAACTAATTGTGATAAGGCTGCTTTGTTACTACCGGGCCCTCCAATAATCCATAACACAGGTGGAACCCCATCGATATTCGAATTTCCATTCTTAATTAGATTTGACAAAGGCATTGCAGCATCCTGCAAATTAAACTGGAGTTAATATTGTACTATCAATGCAGGTATATAATCATTTCTGATTATTTCTATATCTACGTATATAAAAATGTTATGTTGATTGGTGTTTGGTAAAAGTACACCGATTTAGCTGAAATTTTAACATAATATATTAAAAATTGTTGTTATATACATTTTGCATCAGTCACATATCAATGACCGCAAAAACGCTCTTTTGACTTTTTACAAAATCGTAATAGGCCTTATATTTTATACGAAAGATGCGCAGTAAATATATAATTAACTTCCCGTAGTGCAAGTTATAGTAATGGCAAAAAAATCCAAGATGAAATTTTTATATTTCTTTATGTTTCAGAGGTTTTTGAACATTTTGGCATACCTTAGAAAAAATGAATGTATGTGTGTGTGTGTGTGTGCGGATACAAATTTTCGTCGACGATTTTGGAAACACGGTTCAACCGATTTCAATTATTCAGAAAGCATTCGATTCCTATTAATAAGGACACGTGCTGATTAGTTTTTGGCATAGGCAGGTCTAGCCGTTTCGAAGATACAGGGCAAAAAGTGCCAAAAACGGTAACTCAGTTTTTAAGAGAACGGATTTTAGTAATTCAAAATAGAAATTTTAGTAATTCTTATTATTATTCAATAGATAATAATTAAATATTCACTTCAGTCAACGTAATTTTGTATGATGCGTGATCGATCTGCGCTTTTTACCAAATCGTTATTAGACCTTATATTGTCATTTTATATGACAAATGGACAAAAACAACATTTTTTTTTATACCACTGAGAGTTTTATAGAACCACTTCGGGATGCATAGGCATTGCACGCAGAAGATTTTAAGTATACAACGGTATTTCTAAACTCATTTCATCTGCCAGGGATGCTACCACATGGCCATCACACATATTAAAATTGAAAATATGTGTTCCAAATATTCTCTCACAGAATATTAATTATAGAAAACTGCAACGGCATGCGAACTGCTGTTACAAAATGAATAAAAAACCTTACAATTAGTGGTAGCAAAGGAGTCTTTGAAAGGTGGATATGGCCTCTTCCCTCGAATACAGATAATCCTGGCGTATATAACATTTCAATTTTTAAGATTGCATTTTTCAATTTGATTAGAATTCGCAATCACGATCAATAAAGCCAAAGATCAATCTTTGGATTTGTGTGGTTTAGATTTAGGTAAGGATTTCTTATCATACGAACAACTGTATGTTGCCATTTACAACTTATTACACAAGCAGTAGAAAAATATTAAAATATTGTGCGTGCACAAGTGCACAAAAAAATTTATTTCTCGTTTTAATGTAATATTTTCATAGGATAGTTTTTTTATACACTGCGAGTTGCACTCAAATTTCTGAAACACGCCATTTTACATGTACTTGTTTTATTTAGTTTTGATTAATGATGCTAAAAATAGAGTAAAAAGAAATTTATCGTTTTCCAACTACGTTCTACGTTCATCTTAATGACCTGCATAAAACATAAATTCAAATCATGCTTATATAATTTATACAAATATATGATCCAAATAATTATATGAAAATTATAACTTCAAATCACGAATAGTCAAGTGCATTTTACTATAATATAAATGTCGTAATTTATCGATTTTTTGCATATCAAGTTTCTAATTATAATTTAAAGTTTCACACACACACACATATATATATATATATATATATATATATATACTAGCATGCCCGGCCACGGTTTGCTGTGGCTTTTATTAAAATCCACTGAATATATTTTTTCTACTCTTTTTTCTGTTGACATCTTTGAATGCTGTAGTTGGTTATGACAATGTGTATTTGCAATAAACTTGATTTTTTCTTGCAAAAATTTTAAAAATATTTAATTTTTGGCACTTACATATTTCTCATTATTTCATATTTCTGCCTACAAAATATTTTTTTTTCATCAATTTTAATATTTATGCTGTAAATTCTCATTTATAGAATATTTTTTATGATATATATGTTCACACATACCTATAGTATGCAATTAATATAACTATGATTAATCGATATTTTATTTCGTTCTATAATTTTTAACTGTAACAATACACATTTGAATGAACAACTAATACATTGAACGAAAAATAAATATGAATATATTTGATATAAAACATATTCAATGAGTTATAAGAAAATTAATTATTAACAAATATAAAAACTATATTAAATGTAGCATTTTCTTTATAGATAAAAATTAAAATTGGTTTGTACAGATATAACTTTTCTTTTACTCTTTGGTTTATTTATTTTCATCTTTTATCATTGTCGAACTATATTTTTTTTATAAATTAAAGATTTTGTTCATATTGAATATATCTCCGCTATTAATTATATATAAACACTAATTAAAAACAAAGTTTAAAAACAATTATGCTTTTTGTTTTGATATTTTAAACAAACTAGCCTATACACACATTAAATTTAGTTTTGATCATAAAACGGAAAGTTCTCATCTTAATCTATAGATTTCCATTATAAACTACTAAGAATTTGTAACTATAACATACAATTTGTAGTGCTATATTTTGACAGTAAAATAATGAAAATGTTATTGCAGATATAAGAAAATTATAGTTTAGCGATCATAATTTTGTGTAATGCTAAATTATAAATTGAACTAAAAAAAATCAAAACCCGTGTAGGATCGAAAACGTGTAAAACGAATACCATGTAAAACGGGGGATAGGTGTAATTGTTAAATTGAAATGTGCATGTGTGTATGTGTGTATGTGTGTGTGTGCGGATACAAATTTTTGTCGACGGTTTCGGGAACACCGATCAACCGATTTGAAAAATTCAAAAATCATTAGATTCGTATTGATAAGGAGACGTGCTGATTAGTTTTTGGCGAAAGCAGGTCTAGCCGTTCTGAAGATACGGGGCAAAAAGTGCCAAAAATGGTAGCTCAGTTTTTAAGAGAACGGGGCGTCCGATTTTAATAATTCAAAAAACATTTTACTTGTATTGACAAGATGAAGAATTGATCAGATTTTCATGAAGGCAGGTCTAGCTTCGTTAAAAACTAATCAGCTCGTCTCCTTATCAATACGAATCGAATGTTTTTTGAATTATTCAAATCGCTTCATCCGTGTTCCCGAAATCGTCGTCGAAAATTTGTATCCGCACACACACATACACGCACACACACACACACACACATACTCACACACACAAACATACATCAATTTTTTCTAATTATAAGGTATGCCAAAATGTTCAGAAGGTTTTAAAACGTAAAGATATATACAAATTTTCATTTTCGATTTTTTTGCGATTACTATAACTTGCCCTACGGGAAGTTAATAATTAAGTTTTCACAAATTCAGTCTTCGTCCATTTATTTTCTTAATTTCTAGATCATTTCAGATGACGAGAACTTATGTCTACCCTATTTGTGTGTCTTATTCGGTAATTAAACAAAATCTGTTATTCAAATTATTTGAATTGAAGCCGCTAACAAAAATTAAATTATGAAAATATCATGAGATTAACATTAAAATGATACAATGTTTATTATTAAACGAAATTAACAAATAGACGCTATAAATTAATAATAGAGCAGAATAACACATGTGAATGAATAATAATTTCACAATAAACACGTAATGTTTTATATAATTCATTACAAAAATCAATATCATACAACTGAGTCCATTATAAGGCCATATATTATGTATCATAGCGATTGGACAACATTATGTTAATAATTAACTAGTCACGTATAAAAAAACCTTGTATGGGTTCACATAATATCAATGTCGTTCTTATTATTTTAACTGTTTATTTTTAATGCGTGCTTTAAAAGCTTAATAAGAGCTCCTACGGATATTTTCGTGCTTTTGATGAGGGCCTCGCTTCTTCTTCGAATCGAGCATTATGACTAAACTGTATAATTTTATTTGCTTTGCGGTCTCAAGAACAATTTTCCTAAATATAGGTTGGTTAAACTACTATTAAGTAAGACTCTGCATATTAAAAATGTGTTAGATTATTATATAGAATTATATTAAAAGGTCGTGAATGGAATTATTGAATTAAATTTGATGACAGTTTCTATAATAAATATCTTTTTATGGGTTTTAGGAATTTCTCGGTTGATTACGTTATCGAATATTTCCATAAAATGGATAAAAAATATTATTAAAGTATTTGTAGAAAGTAAATTTTAAGAACTTTGTGGAATAAAATTTGGACATAATTTTTCAATGACAACATTTCAAAATCGCACAATACGTTGCTCATGTATATAAATTTGTGAATTGAAGAACATACATTTGCAATAATATCTAAATTTTTTCTGCAGTATGTTAAATTCCAAAGCAAATTCCAAAAGGCATATCGGGTCGATTTCAGTGTTGTTATAATTAATTAGTGCCGGGACAGTTTCTTTTATCATTTTGCATGAACGTGTAATATAGAATTTTTTAGATGGCTCTGTATTTTTTGATAAAAATTTTGCTTTATGAATTAACATATTTTTAAATACTAAATCTTTCAATGACATCTTTTTTTAATACTAAATTGTTATATATTTAGTATTTAAAAAAAAGATTATATAATAAAAAAATGGTAAAAATACATTGAAAATTACTAATAGTAAATAAAGATAATGAGCAACCTATTTAATTAACAAAATTTGGTCACTAATTTAAAGAAGTCAAAATTTCATAAATTAGTGCACCAAGAAAAGATCTTAGTATTTATTAAGTTGATAAAAAAAATAAAATTTTACTTTAGAAATGCTGGTCGGAACGCAAAAATATATTTAAAGGACCGAATGAAGCCCGTGGGCCGCCGATATTCTCTTACTGTTCCCTTAGGGGACAGCCGGGTAAAAACGGTTAAAACAAAAAACACAACTAGCTGTAAGTGGAATTCTGTCTTAAGGCAATTAAGGCATCGTGCCTTAAGGCAAATTGCTGGAACTTCCGGTACCAAAAATTATTATTTTTTTAAAAACGATTAACATTTTTGAAAAAAAAATTACTTTGAAAAAATAGAATTTTTGAGAAACTATAATTGGTCAAAAAATTACTTTTTTTGAAAAAAAATTTTTTTTTAAAAAAATTTTTTTTAAATTTTTTTTTTGTTTTTTTTTTTTTTGAAAAAAAAATTTTCTTTATTTTAACATATTGTGGAAGATCTGAACTTTTTTCAAAGCAATCGTACTGTTTTAACTGCCTAGGGACAAATATAAAGCGCGTAAGTGCCGCGTCGCTGTCTAACGCATAAGCATTGGTACGGAACCCTATAATGTTAACAAAATGTATACTTATTGTTAAAATCTCTATAAAATATCTGATAATTTGATGTGCATATGTCTAATATCATTTTTGACCGCCAAATGGCTCATTTTTTTACTTTTTCCTCCATACTCCGAAACCGCTAGACCTACCTTCATGAAAATTTTATCGATTCTTCATCTGTCAATACAAGTGAAACGTTTTTTGAATTATTCAAATCGGACGCTCCGTTCTCTTAAAAACTGAGTTACCGTTTCGGCACTTTTTGCCCCGTATCTTCGGACGGCTAGACCTGCCTTCGCCAAAACTAATCAGCACGTCTCCTTATCAATACGAATCGAATGTTTTTTGAATTATTCAAATCGGTTGATCCGTGTTCCCGAAATCGTCGACGAAATTTGTATCCGCACATACATACACACACATACATACATACACACACACATACACACAACACATACACCACACATAACACACACACACACACACACACACCACATACATCCATTTTTTCTAAGGTATGCCAAAATGTTCAGAAACCTTGGAAACGTAAAGATATATAAAAATTTCATTTTCGATTTTTTGCGATTACTATAACTTACCCTACGGGAAGTTAAATATTGGTGTTTAATTTATATATACCAATATAGGGTAGAGTGGGGCTTAAAGGTCCGCGTTTAAAAAGGTTTACTATCGATATTTCAAAAACCAGTAAAGTTAAGAATTTTCAACAACAATATTTGAAAGTAGAGGAAAATGATGTATAACCAGCCTTCACCTTGCTTTTTACGACGTTGCTATCTGAAAAACAGCAATATTTGAAAATCCATAACAAAAGTATTTTCTTTCGTCGTTAGTTTTTGTAGTCGTGGGTGCTGTTGCTTAGTTTACGAGACCTTAATATAATTTTTAAGTCTACGTTATTTAATTGTTTTATAGGGTGTATTGTTAATTTTAAGTTAGATTCAACAGTTTTTTATATAACCTCATAAAAGCTTTCATCTGAGTGGGGTAAAAAGGATCAACTTTACCTTCACCTGGCAATGGTGTAAAAAATGAAAAAATATCAAATAAAGAAGTGAAGTAAGTTAAAAAAAAAGTTTTAAAGGGATAAGTGAAATAAATGACTGATCTAACTTTGCTGGTAAATGACGAAATACCAGATCAAGGTTATTTATAGCGTTATCTTTGTAAAAATGAACCCATGAAATTTATTTTTGCATTGGTTGAATAATGCAGCTACTATTTTATGAAATCTCTTCATAAATAAAATAATACATTAAACCTGTTTGTTCTCTACGTATCAATTTACCCCGCTTATGGGATAAAAAGAACCAGGTTACAAATTGTTTATGGTTATAATGATGAATTAGCTGGTAGTTTCACTGAACATAGTCAGAAACTTGTTCGTTTGATATTGTGTTGTAAAGGGTTTGGTTTTCACAATATAATTGCTCAAAGTCAAACTGGGACTTTGCGCCCCGCTTTACCCTAATAAAAGGGACAGGTGACAAATGGTATGTACAAATTAGGAATTAACTGGAATTTCGCTGTTGATCGTTGTTTGTTAGATACATGTTATGTGTTATAATTTAGTTCATTTGGCTTAGACAGCATAATTACAGAAAACCAAATTGGACCTCTGTGCCACGCCCTATACACACATGTAAGTAGTAAAGTAAAGTAAAGTGTTTAAGTATTAAGTTTCCTTGAAATGACTTTTATATAAATGCAAATAAAAAATTGTAAAACTAGTGGGGCGCATGGCATCGTGCCTTAAGGCAAATTGCTGGAACTTCCCGTACCAATAATTCTTATTTTTTTTAAAAAGATTACCATTGATGAAAAAAAAATCGATTTTTGAGATACTTTAAATTTGACAAAAAATTACTTTTTTGTCACATATTTTGGAAATTCTGAACTTTTTTTCAAATCGTACTGCTTTAACTGCATAGAGACGAAATGTCAAAGCGCGTAAGCGCCGCGTCGCCGTCTAACGGACGAACATTAGTACGGAACCCATAGGAATGTAAACAAAATTCATACTTATCGTTAAAATCTTTATAAAATATCTGATAATTTGATGTGCATATGTCTAATGATCATTTTTGACCGCCAGATAGCTTTTTTTTACTTTTTGTATTAGATCTTCAAAACCGCTAGGCCTGCCTTCATGAAAATTTGATCAATTCTTCATCTTGTCAATACAAGTAAAATGTTTTTTGCATTTTTAAAATCGGACGCTCCGTTCTCTTAAAAACCGTGTTATAGTTTTTGGTACTTTTTGCCCTGTAGACCTGCCTCCACCAAAAACTAACTAGCTGTAAGTGGAATTCTGTCTTAAGGCAATTAGGGCATCGTGCCTTAAGGCAAATTGCTGGAACTTCCCTTACCAAAAATTATTATTTTTTTTAAAAAACGATTAAAATTGAAAAATTGAAAAAAATTTACTTCGAAAAAATAAGATTTTTGAGAAACTATAAATTGGACAAAAAATTCCTTTTTTTTGAAAAAAAAATTTTTTAAAAAAAAAATTTTTTTTTTTTAAAATGTTTTCTTTATTTTGACATATTTTGGAAGATCTGAACTTGTTTTTCAGAGCTATCGTCTGCATAGAGACGATAGCGCGTAAGCGCGGCGTCGCTGTCTAACGGGTAAACATTGATACGGAACCCATAGGAAAATAAACAAAATTTATACTTATTGTTAAAATCTCTATAAAATATCTGAAAATTTGATGTGCATATGTCTAATGATCATTTTTGACCGCCAAATTGCATTTTTTTTTACTTTTTTCGTTATATCTCCGAAACCGCTAGACCTGCCTTTATGAAAATTTGATCAATTCTTCATCTTGTCAATACAAGTAAAATGTTTTTTGAATTATCAAAATCGGACGCTCCGTTCTCTTAAAAACTGAGTTAACGTTTTCGGCATTTTTTGCCCCGTATCTCCGGAACGGCTAGACCTGCCTTCGCCAAAAACTAATCAGCACGTCTTCTTATCAATACGAATCGAATGTTTTTTGAATTATTCAAATCGGTTGATCCGTGTTCCCGAAATCGTCGACGAAAATTTGTATCCGCACATACATACACACACGCACACACACACACACACACACACACACACACACATACATCCATTTTTTCTAAGGTATGCCAAAATATTCAGAAACCTCTGAAACGTAAAGATATATAAAAATTTTCATTTTCGATTTTTTTGCGATTACTATAACTTACCCTACGGGAAGTTAATCAGCACGTCTCCTTATCAGTACGAATCGGATGTTTTTTAAACTATTTAAATCGGTTGGTCGATGTTCCCAAAATCGTCGACGAAAATTTGTATCCGCACACACACACACACACGCACACACACATACACACACACATACATCCATTTTTTCTAAGGTATGCCAAAATATTCAGAAACCTTTGAAACGTCGAGAAATGCAAAAATTTTCATTTTCGATTTTTTTGCGATTACTATAACTTACCCTACGGGAAGTTAAAAATCTAGTTTAGTGTCATTCTTCTAACAATTCAGACTAGAAAAGCTTTTTATTACATGATGTTGGCCGGAAACAAGCATAATTTCTGAATCGTAGGAATTAATTAAATTTTTGTAATAAAAATATTACTTTTAGAATACTTACTTCTTCCGCAGCCTGACTTCTCATACGGTCCGTTCCGGTAACAAAAGCATTTCCAACTTGACTTTTCCGCGGCGGTGCGCCTATAACTGCAGTTTCAGCCGTATGAGCTGCAGCCGGTACGGATTCGACGACTGCGGGAGCTGGAGCGACGGCCGCCGCGGGCACGGGGCGCTTGGGCGCCGGTTCTACACCCACGATCTCACCAGGAATGCCGTCAGCACCTACTCCCACGATACCGTTGGCAGCGGCCGAAGGATTCTCGTGCGCTCCTAAGATTTTCAGAACAGCCGCGCGGAAGTCTTTGTACACCTCGCCAGGACTTCGTTCGCCATTTACCTGGGAGGTGAGTGAAAAGTTTTTAGCAATTTTACATGGGAAAGTATTGAAAATATTTCTTGGCTTTAACCCTCCGTCGGTCGGATATTTATTCACCTTCGAACGGTCGGAGTAGTCTGGCTAGACCACCATTCGTTTTATATGCATTTATATGGGATAAATGAGTTTTTCGTGTCTTATATATTAACGATTATTAGTAGTAAATATTTATAGTTTTGATTTTTTGCATGTGTTGAGCTTGCTTATAATAAAAAAAATATATATTATATTATATTACATAAAAAAACAAATAATATAAAAGATCGTTGCTTTTTTTGTTTTGTTTTATTTATATCAATGAAAAACAATATTTATTCTTTTTGGGCTCTTTCGAAATGAATGTGATATTCAAATGAAAACGAAATGAGGTGCGTCGCCTTTGAAATGAGCTGTAAAATTCAAGTTGAAAATATAATTTCACTACAGGTTTTCTAAAAAAAATTTCGAACGCAGTACGGGTAGAAAAATTGTTGATAGTGTGCGCATTACTCATCCGATTTTCAATGTTTGCGATGACCAATAAGTTTGGTAGGTTTTCAAGGAACTCTCGTCGTAAAAATGCGACATTATAAAATGCAGTTTGAATAGAAATTACCAGAAAAAAGACAAAATACTGGTTTACATATATCAAAAAGCGTATATTTCATACAAAATGTATGGGTGGTATAGACAGACCACTCCGACCGTTCGAAGTATAAAAAAGTTAATATCCTTATAATTATCCTTCTGTACTTTTTTTAGTCCTGATTTTTTCATTGATCGACAGCTAATGAAATTCTAGAAAAAGAATTTAGATTTAGATAAAGAAGAAATTTCAAGTCGATAGGATTACTAGAAGTTTTTTTTTTAATTGAAGTCGAAAAAAGTCTGGCCAGACCACGCCGACCGACGGAGGTTTAAATGTTGTATACTACAAACAAAAATAAAAGTTAATATAATATGCATTTATGGAATACAAAAGCCTATAATATCTACTGAAAGCCTATTATAGCATAATATTTCTCAGTCCACTTATATATTCATTTTCTGAGAATTATATATTTATTATGTACGTCGTTTATCCAATTAAATATTCTGCAGAAGTGGGTGCAATTATAATAATTTTAAAAATTAAATAATTTTATTTCAAAAATTATTTTATGTTCTGTTTCTTCTATTTGACTGGATTTAGATCCACGGTCGAATTTTTTTCTGAATCCAGTCTAAAAATTATTATCCTAGTAGACTTAACAATTTACGTTATTAATTATCATTCATTATTACATTGTTCTATAATTAAAACTATATTTATATTATAATACTATATAAGGTATAAATTTTATAATAATATTCAATATGTAATTGAAAAATAATTTACCGTCATTAGCATGTCACTCTGATCGAAATATTCAGCGACAGGCATTACATTTCGGAAAAAATTCGTTAGTTCCATTTTTGCTAAACTAAGTACCACATGCCCTAGTTTTGCTCCATAGTCGATTTGTTTCTCTAACACTTTTTGCCTCCAAGATATCAGTATCACTCCATTTACCACTTGAATCTGTGTAAACAAGGTTCATAACATATTAAAATATAATTTTATATCATTGTTTGAATTTATTTTTTACCTAAATATACTAAAACGGAAAGAAAATCTCTGTAATATATAGAGTAAAATATATTGTAATGCAAAGATAACATATATTTATACGGGTTCATCTTTCAATTTTTTTGTAAAGCTAATTTTTTTCAAAAATTTCAAAATTCTCAAATAAAATTAATTTTTGGTTCGGAAAGTTGCAGCAATTTTTCTTAGAGCACGATGTCATGCACCACTAGTTTATTATTATATTTTACTTATAATTCTGATATACTGATGTTGGTAGATATAACAAAATATATGTATGAAACAAATAAAAAAATAAATTAAATATAGAACTACGAAGAAACAAATGAAATATAAAACAGCTAATTGTATAAATTATAATTAGAAACATCTTCTCAAAAATCGCATTTTTAGCAGGCAACGCAAAAGTTGTCCTATTTGTATATTTTAAAGGGGAAGATGATATAACACCTAATATAATTAGCTTTTCTAATAGCAATGATGTATTTTAATTTCTTGCAGTAATATTTGAATGAGCTTTTTCACATGAAAACATATTATGATTTATGTTTTGGAGGAAAAATAGATATCTTCTCTCGATAGGGGAAAAAGTCAGCTCAAATATAATCTTTTCAATTACCGATAATCCATTATTTTTAAACCAATTTCTTTATTTTTATAATTGTGGAAGTAAATATTATCGATCGAAAGTCGAGCAACATTTAAGTACAGAGTATTTTTATATTTATATTATTCTATGACATGTTTACATAAGTAATGGGAGAGCAAACATCGTTTACATTAATTTTGTAGAGAGATGTATTTTGTATTGAATATATAATTTTAACCGATGTTGTAAACAAATTTATTTGCAATTAAAAGAACACACAGTTTTTATATACCTTGTGAGTTCTGTATCTGATTAATCCTAAACTAAGTGTTAAGACTTATTATTATTACTTTTATTTTTCAGGCTCACATTTTGACCTCCAAATGTAAATAGAATTTGAATGCTTTTTATACGTTTTGAAAGCATGTTATACAATTTGTATATTATTAACTTCCCGTAGGATATGTAATCGCAAAAAAATCGAAACTGAAAATTTTTGTATATCTTTACGTTTGAAAGATTTCTGATCATTTTGGCATACTTTAGAAAAATGGATTTATGTGCTTGTGTTTGTGCGGATACAATTTTTGTCCACAATTTCGGGAAAACAAGTCAACCAATTTGTATGGCATCGTGCCTTAAGGCAAATTGCTGAAACTTTCCGTACCAAAAATTAATTTTTTTAAAAAAGATTAGTTTTTTTCAAACATTGAAAAAATTAGATTTATGAGAAATTTTAAATTTTTGAAAAAAAAACTTCTTGAAAAAAATGTTTTCTTTAATTAAATTTTTGAAAATTTTGAACTGTTTTTCAAAGCTTCAGCAGCATAGAGACAGAAATCGAAGCGCTTAAGCGCCGCGTCGCCATCTAACGGAAAAACGATGGTACGGAACATTTAGAAATGTAAACAAAATTTATACATATTAAAAACCTCAATAAAATAACTGATAGTTTGATGTGCATATGTCTAATGATCATTTTTGACCGTAAATGGCATTTTTTTACTTTTTTTATTGGATCTCCGAAACTGCTAGACCTGCTTTCCCAAAAATTTAATTAGTTTTTCATCTTATCAATACAAGTAAAATGTTTTTCGAATTATTAAAATCGGACTCCTCGTTCTCTTAAAAACTGAGTTACCGTTTTTGCCACTTTTTGTCCCGTATCTTCGAAACGGTTAGACCTGCCTTTGCCAAAATCTAATCAGCACGTCTCCTTATTAAAAGGAATAAAATGTTTTTTTTAATTATTTAAATCGGTTGATCGGTGTTCTCGAAACCGTCGACGAAAATGTGTATCCGCACACACACAGACACACAAACACACACACACATGCATCCATTTTTCTAAGGTATGGCAAAACATTCACAAACCTTTGGAACGTAAAGATATATAAATATTTTTATTTTCGATTTTTTTGCGATTACAATATTTCGATTTTTTTACTCTACGGGAGGTTAAAGAAGCATTTGATTCCTATTAATAAAGAGATGTGCTTTATTTGTATTGACTAAACGAAGAACTGTTTAAATTTTTGGAACAACAGGTCCGGCGATTATGGACTCCAAATAAAAACAATTTAAAAAAATGCCACCTGACGGTCAAAAATTTTGATTAGTTCCGTACCAAGATTTTAATTGAAAGTTCATTTATATGGTTATAACAAATGATCTTGCCGTTTTCGACAGTATAGAATAACCGATTTGTATGATTGAAAAAATATTGGGTTTGTCTCGACCGCGAGGCGTTTTTGCAAAGGGTGTAAAAATCATCATGCAGATTTTGAGAGAACGGATCATCCGAATATATTAGTTTAAAAAATGCTTTTACAAAAAATTTCGTAATTTTCAAAAAAAAATTCAAAATTATCAAGAAAATCAAATTAAAAAAAATTAAGAAACTTTTCATATACATACACTTAAGTTGTTTGTAAAATACGTTTGTTGTCTAATTTAATTACTTATAAATTTCCAGATGTGTTTATAATAAAAAATCTATTTGAAATTATTTAAAACAATTATTGATTATTTTCATTCCACAAATGTTTAATTACGGTAGCAATTTGCCTTGAGGCACGATGCCATGCACCACTAGTTAACTTCCCGTAGGGCAAGTTATAGTAATCGCAAAAAAATCGAAAATGAAAATGTTTATATATCTTTACGTTTCAGAGGTTTCTGAACATTTTGGCATACCTTAGAAAAAATGGATGTATGTGTGTGTGTGTGTGTGTGTGTGTGTGTATGTATGTATGTATGTATGTATGTATGTATGTATGTATGTATGTGCGTGTGTGTATGTATGTGCGGATACAAATTTTCGTCGACGATTTCGGGAACACGGATCAACCGATTTGAATAATTCAAAAAACATTCGATTCGTATTAATAAGGAGACGTGCTGATTAGTTTTTGGCGAAAGCAGGTCTAGCCGTTCCAAAGATACGGGGCAAAAAGTGCCGAAAACGGTAACTCAGTTTTTAAGAGAACGGAGCGTCCGATTTGAATAATTCAAAAAACATTTTACTTGTATTGACAAGATAAAGAATTGATCAAATTTCATGAAGGCAGGTCTAACGGTTTCGGAGATCTAATGAAAAAAGAAAAAAAATGCCATTTGGCGGTCAAAAATGATCATTAGACATATGCACATCAAATTATCAAATATTTTATAGAGATTTAACAATAAGTATAAATTTTTTTTACATTCCTATGGGTTCCGTACCAATGTTTACGCGTTAGACGGCGACGCGGCGCTTACGGGCTTTGATATTTCGTCTTTATGCAGTTAAAGCAGTACGATTGCTCTGAAAAAAAGTTTAGATCTTCCAAAATATGTCAAAATAAAATAAAACATTTTTTTAAAAAAAAAAAAAAAAAAAAAAAAATTTTTTTTTTTCAAAAAAAAGTAATTTTTGTCCAATATATAGTTTCTCAAAAAATTTTTTCAAAGTAAATTTTTTTCAAAAATCTAATCGTTTTAAAAAAAAAAATTTTGGTACGGGAAGTTCCAGCAATTTGCCTTAAGGCACGATCCCTTAATTGCCTTAAGACAGAATTCCACTTACAGCTAGTTTATTTCTTCAAATAATAATTCCATTCTCATATTCGATGGCTGATAGAATTTTAGATTGTTTTCTATATAAATTATTTAGATGTTGGATGTACTCGCCCATGACCCCGTGTAAACTTCACTTTTAAAAAAATACATATCAAATATAGTAAGTATAATACTATTTGATAATAGTCAAATATTATTATCAAAATTTATACTTTTATTGTATGTTTTTGGTTTATTGGTTGTTTTCATAACTATATTTTCTTGAAAAGCAGTTAGAAGTATGTGCTCTTGAAGTCTTTGTAACGATACTTTATTAACTTCCCGTAGGGCAAGTTAAATAATCGCAAAAAAAAAAAAATCGAAAATGAAAATTTATGCATTTCTCGACGTTTCAAAGGTTTCTGAATATTTTGGCATACCTTAGAAAAAATGGATGTATGTGTGTGTGTGTGTGTGTGTGCGTGTGTGTATGTATGTGCGGATACAAATTTTCGTCGACGATTTCGGGAACACCGATCAACCGATTTGAATAATTCAAAAAACATTCGATTTGTATTGATAAGGAGACGTGCTGATTAGTTTTTGGCGCAGTCAGGTTTAGCCGTTCCGAAAGATACGGGGGGCAAAAAGTGCCGAAAACGTTAACTCAGTTTTTAAGAGAACGGAGAGTCCGATTTTAATAATTCAAAAAACATTTCACTTGTATTGACAAGATGAAGAATCGATCATATTTTCATAAAGGAGGTCTAGCGGTTTCGGAGATCTAATGAAAAAAGTAAAAAAAAATGCCATTTGGCGGTCAAAAATGATCATTAGACATATGCACATCAAATTATCAGATATTTTATAGAGATTTTAACAATAAGTAATTTTGGTTTACATTCTTATGGGTTCCGTACCAAAGTTTACGCGTTAGACGTCGACGCGGCGCTTACGCGGTTTGATATTTCGTCTTTATGCAGTTAAAGCAGTACGATTGCTTGAAAAAAAGTTTAGATCTTTCAAAATATGTCAAAATAAAGGAAGCATTTTTTTCAAAAAAAAAAAAATCACAAAAAAAAATTTAAAAAAAAAATTAAAAAAAAAATTTTTTTTCAAAAAAAAGTTATTTTTGTCTACTTGTTTGTCAAAAATCTTATTTTTTCGAAGTAAATTTTTTTCAAAAATGTTAATCGTTTTAAAAAAATAATAATTTTTGGTACGGGAAGTTCCAGAAATTTGCCATAAGGCACGATGCCTTAATTGCCTTAAGACAAAATTCACTTACAGCTATTTGAGATTTATT